AGTTCCTCTTCTAGTCAAAAGATATATCCCAATTTACGCTTCGAATAGTATAAAGTCTTTTGTTTGAATTGTTTTTACAGATATTTATTTATATTATTATTATTATTATTATTATTTATATAACATACAATGTAACGTTTCTTAGAGTTGTACTTGTGTTTCTTCTAGTCAATAAACAATGCTTAATGAAAATAATGATGCATTGTAATTTTAAACTCATAACGCTTACTACAAATGTGTCGTCATTCAAATTCATTTTCCAACAGTACGTACTATCAAATTAAATAGTCCAGTAACATGACTGGAAGTACAAAGGGTTTTTCTTATAAAAAAGTTAAATGAAAACATTTAAATCTTATACAATAGCATAACGGTGTTCAAAATAAAGTTACTTACACTAGTAAATTCCATATTAAAGAAAATATTTTGAATTATGACATTTTGTAGCATAGAAATGTGAGAAAACGCTATACCAAATCAGTAGTATTACGAGTATTGATGTGATTTAAGTCTTTGATTGTATATAGAATGTTTTAATCAATTTTGTTTAGTATTTTAATGCAGTAATATTTGTACATATCTTTGATATAAATGAACATATCTTTGATATATTTGCAATAATATTTTATATAGTCTCTGTTTTTATATCCTTCAGAATTATATGTATCTTTATAATTGATGTTTTATAATAAATATATACGAACTACACAAACATACGAAATATTATGAATGACTTGATTCCTTTTCACCACATTTCCCAATCTACACAATTCTTAAAAACTAATCAAACATAAAACTAAAGTAAAGTATCCTCTATACGTGTTACCGAAAATAAAACATTACAAAGTTCAGTGTGAATTTTGTTTATAATTACTATAATTTACTATTTATTTCATTCTAAAAACAAAAAAGTACTTGGCGTTTAGTCAAGTTAAAGTTGCTTTTATTTTCCGTGAGAAAGCTCTATGTATCTCAAAAAAGTCTCACAAAAGATTCATTTTGTCGTTAATTTCTATTTTTTATCCAGTTCAATCTACGCGGTCCACTCTTCTCAACTTGATATTGGTTTATTCAAAATATTGAACATGTGAATAAATTGATTATGTTAAACAATATTACGTGATGCAAGCGCTTAAACATCAAGAAATCCAAAAGTAATACGTGAACATCCTGAAGAAACTCTACGCAAACAGCTGGGCCAAAAATAAACCGGAAAATCTTGGAGATAAATTTAAAATAGTAAAATAATTGAAACAAGATTACATTTATCCTAGATTGTTCTCTGCTGTACTGGAAGAAATATTGAGTAGTTTAGATTGGGATGAAAAATTTGCAATCACGTTATTATGGTTGTTATGTCAATATCAATGGAAAAACGTTATTACACCTGCGTTTTGCAGATGATATTGTATTATTCAAAAGAACTAGAAACAATTATGAAAGACTTATGCAACCGCAGTATATCAGCGGGTCTAACCAAGAACGAAAATAAAACTGTACTGATTACAAATGACTCACTCAACGGCAACATATTTTCTATTAATACCGTTGTCTATAACTATAACACTGGACGTAGTAATCATATTCGTCAGGTGTCAGTATCAATAGCTCACTACAAAAATCTACATACATTACATGAAGTACATTATTTTAGAACACATTGCTATATGACACTAAATTATTCAATTCGATGCATAAGTTTAAGTGCCAAGTAAAAAATTTTCTTCTGCATAACTGTCTACAAATAGATCATCAAAAATGTAAGTAATATTAATTTTAACAATGATATTGAATGTGTTAATGACTTTTTGGGCTGAATAATTCAAAACAAACTGTAACCAGCAATTGTTCATCAGCTTCTGGGTCAATGACCACCCATTTCGGTCAGGTTTGTCGTCCAGTTTACCCAATCCTTCCAGCGAATGCTCAGATGATTCCTTCTTTTGCTTCTGTACGTAAATTTAACTTCATTATCTGTGCATGTTTATTAGAGTTCTGTGAGTAATATAGTTTTTCAAACAATCGTTCTCCATGTTCTCACGGCAGGAAGTCGATTCCTTCACAAAGAGTACAGGTCTTTAGGTTATTTGTCTTTTCCTTCTTTTGATTCTGTACGTAAATGTAACTTTATTATCTGTGCGTGTTTATTAGAGTTCTGTGGGTAATATAGTTTTTCAAATAATAATTCTACATGTTCTCACGGCAGGAAGTCGATTCCTTCACAAAGAGTGCAGGTATTTAGGTCATTTGCCTTTTCAAATAGTTTTTATTACACTAGAGCGATTTGTTCAAATAAATTCTTGCCCAAATGCTCATTACATCTGTATTCAGAAATCAACTTGTATATAGGTTGGGGTAGGAATTTAAGAAAAAATGCACAGAATACACTTCTCCCCTTAGTACATTACACACAATTTTAACATTTTTTGGCTTTAAATAAATTAATAAATAAATCACGAAGATATAAATGTAACAATGAGACAAGTAAAAATAAATCATACCAATAAATGTGTTTATCTAGGTCAAACATTTTTTTTTCAAAATACAACTGACAAGAAAATAGAAAAGAGAATTACCATTGTCTGGAATAAGTTTTGGTCGCTTTTATTCTTACTTTCAGACATAACACAAAAACCTGACGTGAAAAAGTCTGTCATGGAAATTTGTGTTTTTCTGGTATTGTTATACGGGGCACGAACATGATCTCTGTAAGAAAAACAAAAGAAGAAGCTCCTTGAAATGAGTTTTTGCTCCAGGACTTTGACAGCAAAAGGGTAAATTTTTAAAGCTGCTGACACAATACATTTTGAGACTCGGTCCCTTTCTCTACAAGACAAAAAATCAAAATCTCAATTGAGAAAGGAAATTTAATTAGAATATGTCTCTAATTTGGTCATATATGCCTATTGTAACAAATTATATCCACAAAAAAAGTATACTTTGGTTCTATTTTGCTTCCAGGACGAGTTTTGCTCCCACCTGTTAAACACTTTTTAACTGGACACACATATTTAAAAATGCGGAAAACACATTATGCTATTTCGTTTGTCCCCCTGTTCGATTGGGCTTTATAACAAATGTTCATTACACTTCTGTCATCATGAAAATGTGTACAAAGGTTGTAAACGGACAGCTGGCGTGATTAGAACATCTGTGAGTGTGCCAAAGTTGGCAACAGCAGAACTTACTGAAGGTCCTTGGCGATGACATACTCCTTTGAATTGGAGCGCAGAATTTCTGTAAAGTCTATATTCATTTCTGATCTCGTTTTATCTGCTTTCAAGTAGTGGAGTTTCAATTTTTCTAGCAAATATATTTTATGTGGATTCACAGCTACTATAATTTCAGTTGAATAACGATCAGGGCAATATAAGATCTCAGAAAAATTCCTTTTAAAAATATTGTAATAAAAAGTATATTACAAGTCTGTTTCTGATTAGTGAACTCTATATAATTTATATAACCTACTAAAATTAAAATCAACGCTAAGATAATTTTATTTCTTATCAGATTTCTTTCGTGCATAGTGACTCACCTCACGTTGTATGGAATTCATGTGGCAAGACATAAGAGTTTCGTCTTCAAGAATGTACATCCTGTTTTTCTATTTGTTTCCTTTTTCCAAGAATGGAATTACCTGTCATTTTCAATTCCACTAAACCTTGCAGCGTCATAGATACAAAGAGGAAATTTCACGGAAAGTTTGCCTGCATACTTGGACGAGTTCGCCCACGCTATTCGGCACTCTGTAAATGGCACCTGTATGCCGCATACTTTTAGATCAATTATTGTACCATCCTTGCACCTACAAATAGAATTTACTGATGTGAGTCCTAGTAATTAATTATGTTGCTTAACCACTATTTACTTTGTACAGATCTTATAACGTATGATTAATTTACAAATAAGATAAGATTTTACACAAATATTTATATTTGCAGCTCAAAAGTTCCTTCGGCGTTTCTTCAGTAGTAACACTGCCTCTGATTTTACTCCGTAGTCTTCTCCTTCATTTCGCAACTTCCCATTTTCATCAGATGCCATTTTCTTCACCTTTCCCATGTCGTTTGCGTATGTTAAAATCACTATGCTCAGACATTGTACAAAAAGTCACAATAAGAGCAGCAGTGAACACACCATTCAAGCTGCCAAATTACTTAATGCACGTGACTTACTACCTATTTCACAATGAAGTTTTATGGATTAAGTAGCTTCATTGTATTCCCAGCTTTAGCAGGTCTCAATAATTATGAAATATTTCTAATTCAATTATTTCATTTTGTTGTTTTCAAAGTATGTAAATTATTTTTTACCTATAAACTTCGTATTAGGAGTTAGAATCATATTAATAAAAACTATCATATTAATTGAAAACCAAAGAAAAAGATATGAAGAGTAGATTAGTCTCCTTAGGAATATTTTTTTATTCAGGAAGAAATATTACTTCACAAAATGTTCAATTAAGTCAAAAACATACAACATCAATGTAGAGTTTTAAAACATTTTTAATTGTCAGTAAAGATAGAAAATTGTGTATAAATATAAATAATTCAATAAAAATGCAGTAAATGCATTAAAAATGTATGTACTTATTCTTTAGTCTTTAAAACCGAAGTACTTGGCAATAAATCAATCATTATTTCTGCTCCCTTACAGAACCCACAAATTGCAAATATATTACCGCATATGTTAAGCTATTAAGACAACGTTTAGAAGAAACAGACCTATCCAAGAATCTTCTCATTAGTTGTAACATGTTTTGCTTAACGTAGAAAATCAATTTATCGTAAGTAATAACTTACTCTTTGTATAATTATTCAATTTCATATTAATGAAATCACTTTCGACACTTGCATTTCTTTCTAGTAAAATACTGAATGTATTGCACTTGATTAGATAAGGATAAATAAAAAAATAAATAAAAGTTGCCTCTAAAAATCGAGGCGTTCCGTAAAGAATACCATGTTTAGTAGTCTTATAATGGTTTCTGCTATAGTTCAAATAACGTCGACTACATAAGATAAAATATGTATGTCCTTGCGCCGTTATCAGGAGGTTGGTTTTCTGGTCGCACGAGGATGCAGCTCCTAAACGGTGAGGTTGGGACGTGAATCGCCAGCAGCCTGCAAGTCGTCCTGCACCAATACACACCCAGTGCGTACCACGTGCATATCTACGAACGCCTGGGCCTGCAGGCATGTCAGGCGCAAGGGTCCTGCAGCGTCACGTACACCCAGGGCGAGGCGCGGCCTTTGCTGCGCGCAAACCACCTCCTGCACTGTCACATACGCGCCGCGCTGCAGCTGTAGTTTGCGCTCCTGCAGCGAGAACTTGCATAGAGCGCGTGGCTGAAGGACACTTGCGTAGACGGCAGGCGCTGACGACCCCCGGAGGAGAGCCAGGGGGGCCAGAGGTGCGGTGCAGATTTCGAGGCACAGAAGCACAACTAGAGTCTGGAGTTGCATGATGAAACAGTAGATCTTGAAAGATTGGTGGAGGTTCTTTCAGATCTCTTTTAGTATCCTGGCTGATAACTTCTATAAATATTCCGTTCTTGGAAATTATTCTGATTTAAGCTGCCGACTGGTAATGTAGTTCGGACTTTTGCGGTCTCTTTCGACCAACTGCTTAAGGAAATGTCTATTGGAGTGGGAGACACGTTCTGCAAGAGTACCCAACGTTGGAGGAAAACCCTGTTCTTTATATACCAGCAGGAGTATCACAACGCGTGGGAGAAGAATGCGGTTCTCTTCTTCTTAAGATGAATACGAAACTTGAATGATAGCCAGAGTAATTGCTGATGGTAACGGAAGTTAAGCAGTTCCAGACCCATGGACCCATGGAAACGGTCTGAAACGCGTACATTGGATTTCGCCTGTAATTGTATTAAAAATAACGCTTTAAACTGTGGAGGCGGGCTACATATATTTAATATAAGAACTAAAATAACTACTTTTTCGTGAAAAATTATAACGGACTGATGGCGCCACTTTAATTTTACTTTCATGTAAGAATTTTTCAGCAACAATTCGTCATCAAACATATGTCTTAAATGGTAAAGATGTGCTTAAATTTTCCAAAATTTAAATTATTCTTAAATGAAAACGAAAAAAATATTGAACGTAACACGTGGTAAGAGGGGTATCGTGGTAAATAAGAAAATTCTCTATCGCTGCTCGTTTTCTTGAACATACCCCGCGTGCAATTATAACCCTTCTTTATCCACTCGAGAATTACTTTCGTCAAATAAGAATAGAGCAGAGTACGCTTGTGATTTTATGGTACAGATTGATTTCACTCCTTCAAAATTTTCGTGTATTACAAAAATAGTTTGGACGCTTTCCTGCAACAACGTCATTGAAGGCAGATATGTTGTTGTCAATGACATTTATTCTTGAAAATTAAATTTTAAATAATGTTTGGCACATTTTTCAAGATAAGAGAGGGTTTTGCATAACTTTTAATGAGATCGGGGCAACAAAAATAATATATATAAAAAATTTCTCAAGAAAGATTTCGCGTAATTTTATTTTCTCGTTTCGTACATATATACATAATGCATATAACATAAGAGAAAGACAATAATATCTGGGAAATTATGTATGTGATTGAGGCCAGTGTGGGCAGTGTGTGTGTGTGTGTATGTGTGTGTGTGTGTGTGTAAATGAGGAACTTGATCTCTACATCCTGCAGAAGATCTCTACATCCTGAAGTTGCTCTTCATTGAGAATGTCCCCAGAACGTTAAAGGAATTGCAAGACACCGTAGCAGGACTTCTTGGCTCCGACAGATACCAACTAGGAAGAAGAAGGGGCGAAACCATAAACTTATATCATTTGGAGAGAAAAAGAAACTAACTTACATGAGAAAGATTTTGCCATTATATAGTTAAAATATCTCTCACGGTCTTGACATTTACATGACAGAATATGAAAATTTACAATGTAAATCAATTGTGAAAAGAATGGCTTCAAATGATATAGAGATGAAGATGGTAATACCACCACCGCCGCCACCGCCGTCACCACCGCCACCACCGCCACCACCGCCACCACCGCTACCGCCACCGAAGCTGCCGCCGCCGCCGCTGCCGCCGCCGCCGCCGCCACCGCCGCCATATATGTAATGGGCCCCCTTAGTATCTGTTCATACATCGCAAACATTCTAGAAGAAAGTTTTGTGTTTTATTACATTGGGAATGAGTAAAGAGCACATTACGTATAAAATCCTAACAATCGATGATAAATACCCGTTTCCTTTATAGGAGGGGCTTTGCTCTCTCTGGATGAAAATAAATTTCTTAAAGGGTGCATAGTTGCACCTTGGGTGTGTTAGAAATGTTGATGATCGTAGAATTTGCGAAGATAGAAACCAGTTCGGTATTTTTTACAATTATTATTAGTAAAGAAGGAAAATAAGTAACCTTTTCAGTGGCTGGCCGACGTTGGAAAGGAAAGGCAAAATAATATCAATATTATTTATTTATGTTTATAATTAAGAAGGATTAAGGATACGTTTCATTACAGACACTGCAATTTGTATTCATAAAAAAAATTGGAGTACCTAAGACGTCGGATTCCTTAATGTTTCTCCAACCAAGACTTACACTTCCAAGGATTGTTCGTGTTGACACACCTCCCGAAGAAGAAGTTTTACTACGTTAGGAAGAACACCTATTGGGTAACGAGCAGGAAAAGGAGTCGATTGTTTGCTTGTGATCTCACCAGACATGATTTTCGCAGAGTAGCCTACCAACTTTATAAATGAAATGGGATTAAACATCTGTTCACAGAAGATGCCGATAGAGTTTGATTAGGGATTATATGAACCGTCTTAAGCATGTTTTAGCTTCTAATGATGTTATCTCATCATCTCCTTACAAGGAGGATCTTATGGTGGCTGGAGAAAAACCTTATGCCTGCAGATACTTAAAAACGTTAACATGGATAGGACATAAGCACAAAACAGGCTGGTAGAAAACCAAAACTGCACATGAGGAAGGTTTCAAACGGAAATGTCTTGAAGATGAGGAATCAGAAGAGTGAGACAACTTATTGATTCTGTAGTCTCTGTTTGGGAATCTGTAGTAGGGGTTAAAGGTCCCAGTAATTTGGGGGGGGGTGTACTTTACATGAAGCCCATGGAGCATTTTCAAAATTTTCAAAACAATTTCTCCATCGTTTTTTAAAAATTTTGTTTTTGGATAGTGTGTAGAACACTTAAGAGAGTAGTGCAAGTCTAATTTTCGTTAAAAACACTGATTTTTCGAAAATTGCCAAAATTCAATTTTTTTTTCGGCGTCTTCCTACAACTACAATTATGAAGATAGATATTTTTCCCTTAATGAAATCTGTTCATTAAACACAGAGTTTGAAGTACGGTCATGTTTCGATTTTTCAAAAATTTGAGAACTCTTCGCGTAATTTTACATGAACATACGGGCGAGAAAGTACGTAGAACATACGTTCTGTATTAGCACCATTAGCACCATGTTATTTGGTTGCAAGGGCCCGCTGCTCATTGGCTTTCTGGAACACGGGCACACAATTAACGCACAGCGGTACGACGTGGCCACTTTCTAGAAGTCCAAGCCCATCGCGTATGCATCATTCTGTTTCAGGATAATGCCCGCCCACTTATTGGAAAAGGTGTTTCAATTACGCTGCAGCAGTTCCTCTGAGCGGCTTTTACACATCCTCCATATAGACCAGATCTCTCTTTGCAAGATTTCTAACTTTTTGACGCCTTGAAGGAAGACATTCGTAGTTATGGCTTTGCTTCGGACGAAGAGGTTTACGCCCAGGTAGTCATGGTTCCGCAGACTACTGCAAACATTTTTTTAAGAAGGTATTGACCGTGTTATCTCACAGTGGGGTATATGTATTGATAGTTACGGCAATTGCTTTTAAAATAATAAACAGTTTTCTTATTTTTCCCATCTGTCACGTTTTCATTTGACTGACACTTATACATAGATACAGTATACAATGTTGCATTGTTCCCACGTTACACATTAGTCTATGTTCGCATGAATATGTCAATTTCACTTTAATTACAATTATTTTTATTAAATATTATTATTATTATTAGTAGTAGTAGTAGTAGTAGTAGTAGTAGCAGTAGTAGTAGTAGTAGTAGTAGTAGTATTAGACATAAGCGTATTACGTTCACAAATGGTACAATAGTCTTCCGCCTTCGTTGCAGAGGAGCTTCGGGCAGGTACGGGCAGGTAGAGCTTCGGGCAGATGTACATGGATTCTAGGGCTGTGGGTTCCAAATCCGGTAAAGCATGAATATTTTAAGCTGTGTTCTTGGAATGGGGGATTTTCCAAACCATCGTGTAGATTTTTCAATACCATAATTATCACTGCAAATTACTTTCTGGGCTGGATGTCCGTTGTCTAGTGGAAATCATATTGCCAGACTTTTCGTCGTTAAGGACGAAAGGTAATTTGAATGATGGATCCTACCGTGAAAGCCTACATTGCTTTTTTATACCAGAATACTTCATCCTTTTTTGTGACCGAACTCTGTGTGTGACATGTGTGCTCTCTATCTGCGCATAAATAATGGAAGTGACTTCCTAAACGTAGAACAGTAGTAGCCTACATGCCCCGAGGTGGGGCCGTGGGATCTACTCATACAGGAACGAGATGACCTAAGTAATTCTTGGGTGTGGTGTGAGGAGAGCACGAGGGAGCTCTTCACTGGGGAGCGCTAGACCTTTGTTGGCCCTTTAGGCGGCGATAGATAAAAGCCTGGAAGGCCATGAGTCAACACCAAAAACGTAGCCCTGACTGAAAAGAAAGGGGATGTAGTGCGAGAAAGTCTATGCCATTTTGTGGACACATTGGTTTTATTACGTATTCAGAATTCTTTCACGTTCAGTGAGATTTTCTACAGGTTACTTTGAATATGGTAAGAAATATTCTAAAATATAGTATCAGTAATCATACGATAACTTGGTGGAAAATATTAAAGAGAATTTTAAATCTTTTTGGTTACAGACAACATTTGTTCGAATAGTAAATTGTAAATGGCATCTATGGGATTCCTTGTTAGTACATCGCAGAACTGATATTAAGAGTTTCTCTGGGAAGTATGTGATTTTACTATGTACCGTGCAATGAACGCAAAATAATTATTGTGTTTTCCACGAAAAGAAGACTTGTTTTTAAAGCTACAGAGTGAAATAAATACATTAATGTTATTATTTTCCGAGCTTACACAGACTTGTGCCAGGGGGATTATAATTCGTATTACCGTCAATTTTATTATAATGTCGAGGAGTACTTGGCATTCTTTCATATTACGCCATCAATTTCAAACCCATAAATCTCTAAATTACGAGTAATGGAAATCTATGAATTTGAAATACGAGGGGCACTCGAAAAGTACTAGGAATGATGTTTCAGCATGTTAATATTATATTTTTAATTCATGAGAGGTCCAATGATTTTTTAAGGCAGACAATAACAAACTTTATTAAACAATTTTTACATTTTATAGACCAAAAGTTGTAATGTTATAACCTAATGCTAACCTAATCCCTTCGTAGTAGGACCTTGACGCGCACACAAACGTGCTCCATCGTTCCTACCACTATCGGAAGCACCGGCAGAAGGCGTCTTCGCGATTGCAAAAACGTCTCCCCATGAGGCATATTTTCAGAATAGAATAGAATCAGCCATTATTCCACGGGAGCAGAATCAAAAGCGGGCGATGATCGAGGAGCGACAGGAATGGTCAACTTGTCAGTAAATTTCTGGCCCACCAGAGTGTGCGGATTGGCGCGTCATCGTAATGCAGTGGCCACTTTCCTTATCACTGGGCTCTCACGTCCGCCAAAACGTATCGCGCCACCGCTGCAAAACTTGCACCTACAAATCGTCAACACGCGAGAAAATACGAGTTGTTTCAGCCCCATTAGTTTACTTACTCGCACATACTTCATAAGAAGACGCAGTTTTGTAATCGTGGGCCAGAAAAGAGTGAATGTTTATTTTCTTGTGCGTGTACGCTTACGCAAATAATTTATTGCAGGGCTCGGAAGTAAGAGATGGTAACGCTGAATATTACAGTTTTGTGATATTAACATTTTCGTGTGTTTCAATCGGCCATATACTGTGATTTTCAAATAGTTCAAATTAAGGTGCATAATTGCTCTTGTCAACTTTATGTACCTCACGTAAGCCCCTTCAGGAAAACATGTTCTCTTGCATCCATGTCCACGCGTGTTACCATGTTTTACACCCAAACACTTACATATATTATGCATAGTATGGAAAAAGTTACATAATGCTGCAGAAAATCTATTTTGCTATTTCAACGGAAAATATGTTATGGGGTCCCCAAATACCGAAAAAATGTTGTTTTCTTTCAAAACGTTCGTCCATATCTCTCTGTCCGTACGCTTGACTCTTCGACTGTAACGGTTAACCTATTTGTAGGATTGTTTTCCAAAATTAATATTCCCTTGTTATCCTAGCACGACTCAAAGCTCTACGAGAATAAAAAAGAATCCTTTAAATTTTTGGGGGTACTTTGCATGAAGCCTCTGGGACATTTTCAATTGGTTTAAAAATGGCTCCAAAGGTTTTCTTTAAATTTTTGGTAGAGACAGTGCTAAGTGTACTGTATACGATGTCAGACGCTCCAATGTTTTTACTTTCTCGTATACGTACGTGTACAAGGAATAATATACGTAGTATAGAGAAAGTTATATATTTCTGCAGCAAAAAATGACAATTTTTTACAGAAAAACTCGTATTGTGGGACCCCGATACAAAATAACTGGATATATCCTGTTCTAACACGTAGAAAATTACCTACTCTCTCTGACACGTTATGTAGCCAGATTTCACGAAGAGTTAGTCCTTGATAATGTAACCCTCACTCCCCCGTTATTAGTTTTTCCTCCGAACTTGGGGGGGGGCGTGAAATTGCTGGGTGTGAAACAGCTCAAAAGTTTGAAAAGAGAAAGACAAGAATGAAACATTGTGTGGTAAAAACATTGTTTATCAGATAGCGTTTGTACGTATTTCGACAGAAAATCTATTTTCGATTCACGACACCACCTCATTGCAGGAAGATCTTATATAAAAATATGAAGAAAATCTGTAGTCGCCTCTAAGATGCCCTCCGACTGGATCACGAAATGTACACTGTCATCTGAGAGATGCCCTCCGACCTGTAGGGTGGGACAGCTTCCTGAAAGCTTTGAGTTGACCTCTCGATGCCATGTCATCTTAAAGACGCCCTCCGACATGTAGGACGATCATGTTACCAAACGTTTCCGAACGCAAAGGGCTAGGATTCGAGTCCCTTCGGTGGCAGAGTTTTCGACACTAGCTAAATAGCTAGGTCGAATTCAGCCGTTGTCTTGAGGTGAATTCTTGAAGCCAGCAGCTTCGATCCAGTTTCTTCGATCAACACCCACCGAATGCTGAAGTGCTATCAGCATACTGTGTAAGTGCACATCACTTTCAAGATGGTTTCGACTAAAAGAAATCTCTAGCTTTAATATTGAAGGAGTAGAATAGGTTTTTCACAAATTGTTTTAATTTTTGCAATTTTCAAAATAACAGACTTTTCTAATGAAAAATCAGGAATATGCCATATTATTATGGGAGATTTATTCGAGCATAAAATTTAAAGAAAAGGTTAATGGCTTTTTGAGAAAATTGTTCATACATATTTTTACTTTCTCAAATACTACGTAGTTTAGAGAAAGCATTATAGTACTGCAAAAATGTTAATTCTTACTCAGAAAAAAAATCGTTTTACGGATCACTGATAGAAAAAAGTGAATTTGTCTTCCTCCTGTATAAAGTGTAGTAATTCTTCAGGAAAATGCAAAGATTTTAATTACATCAGTGACATGTTTATACGTGCATTTTTCTTTATTGAAGCAAAAAAATTAAGAAAGAATTTGTAGCGATTTTTTTAAATAATTTTGGAGGTGTCCTAGGAGTTTGATGTGCCCCCAAAAATAAAAGAATGGTTTCAAATCCTACAATCTCGTGTGCGGCCAAATCTGTGGGGATATATCTGTTTTCAAGAGGATTTTGTGAATGGTTTGGGCACTATAGTGTTGTTCACAGAAGGAAGGAGAACAATAGCAAGACATCGATTTTGTAGAAAAAATCTCTCAAAACTAAAAAAAAACAAAAAAAACATGACATCAATGTTTTGAAGCAATGTAAAAATGTATCTATACTACATGTGCGAAAAACTAAAATTGCTAGATGTATTAATAGTAAACGTAAAGAACAGTTATAGAAAATGAAACAATGAAATATAACAATTTTACATTTAACACTTCTCTGTTTAAGAAAGAAGAGAATTCGACTAAATTATATATATTTTTTTTCATGTAGAAATACATACATTGTTTATGAACAATATCTAACAGAAATCATACGGAATGCAATAACTGATGTAGTGTAAGTTTAATCGGCATTTGGCTTTAATTCGAAGTCAACTCGAATAGTTCCACAATACTTTTCGTCTAGTCCCTCGCATGTTTGATTTATAACTACGAAATATTTTCCCTTGGGGAAGCCTTGAGGAAATAGTCTTGGAAAAAGTTCGAAGTCAGCCATCGCCAAACCATCCTGTAAAAACAAAGACAATTAAAAATTAAAGTAATTATTCTAATAGGTATCTTCATTTCAAATAACAACATTAAATATAGTATTCTCAAAAGTGTTAAGAGCATTTAAGAGAAACACAAGCTTGTTGTGGCTACATGCAAAAGGTATAATTCAAAGAAAATATTGGTCACCATTATGCATAAATTAAAATACCATGTTTACGAAGAGCTAGTGATAGAGAAGGAAAGCGAGAAAGAGAGAGAGAGAGAGAGAGAGAGAGAGAGAGAGAGAGAGGAAAAGAGACTTTCTGTGATATTAGAACAGTCAGCTCTTAAATTCTAGCGTAAGGAAGAAGACCGTTAGAGACCATACAGTTTTCTTAGAAAGAAATGTTTTGAGACAATACTATTTTATCAATACCAAACTACTTTTCTTCACAAAAGTGCATGCAGTGATTAATGCAATGCAGTGATATGATTTTGAGAAAATGAGATTACATACTCTTTAAATCCAACTATAATTAACGAAAAACAAAAATTAATTTGTGCCTTACCTCCACTATTGCCATTGGAAGCTCCAGCTTCGGATTCAAGTAGCAGTTCATACACATGACAACATTAGGGAATTTTTCCAGCAAACCTTGCATACTATCAAATCCGCCGCCTACAGCTTGGTACGTGTCCCCAGATTTAAATTCCAACTTGTATAATACCTAAAAGAAAGAAAGTACAAGAAATTATGTTAAACAGTAATCGCATCAGAATATTTCTCTTTGTTTGTTTTGTAAGTAATTTAAAAAACACGCAATTTACGTTAGACAGATTGCAGACAGAAGTGTAAATGAATTAAGGCGTTCGTACTTACAGGTAACTCAGCCGTCATCTCTCCTCCGTAATGAAAGTTCCCATTAAACACTCCATTTTCCACAACGACATCACTTTCTTCAAAAAATCCAGTCACGACGAAAGCAGCCAAGAATACCGAGAACTGAAATTGGGATAATGTATTATTATTATTATTATTATTATTATTATTATTATTATTATTATTATTATTATTAATATTATTATTAATATTTTTATTATTACCATTGTTATTATTATTACTATTATTATTATTATTATTATTTCAGCATCACTTGCTGGGCAACAGCTTTTGTTTCAACGGACAATATCTTAAGGTCAAAGAAGCTCATCTTCCACGAACTTATTAGAAGAAATATTACGAATTTCTGCATTTTTACTTTCTCGTATACATACGTATATACGGAGTAATATACTTAATACAGATAAATTTATGTTGCGCAGCGCGAAAAAACGGCGCATTTTCGAGAGAAAAAAATTCGTTGTCACACCCTCATAACAAACTAGTGGTGCTACAAATGGCCCAGACTTTTCCGTGTTAGTTTTCTGTTTCCTTTGGTCTCGGCTAGCTATTCGAACACTACTCTTGACTGCTGCCACCTATCACCACCCAATTCTCTCTTTTTTTGAAATGTTCTTATTTTGTCGGTTTCCTAATAGTAGAACGTAAATTTTTTTATGAATATTAAAGAATATTAAAACCGCGTCCTAAATGGCAATATTCTTTGAAAAAAATTGGAGACGTTTTTAAGCAAATAGCCTTTAAGCACTACAGTAAATATGAAGTTTGAAGCACTTTTTCATACAAAAGTTTTGAGTTTTTAAAAACTGAATTTCAGGTAAGTTGAAGCACTTTAACTCACAAATACAATAGTGTTTACAAATTGTTGGGTATGTGTTTATTACCAACGTGAAAGATTTAAAAAAATTACATTTGTATAATTTTTGAAGAAAAACAAACAAACAAAAAATTACCCCGAAATTAACTTTACGTCTTATCAAAGAGTGCAATTAGCACTATCCGTTCGAAAAATTTGTAGAAAATTTTGGATCCATTTTGCGCTTCTGAAATTGCGAAAGTTTGGTCTTGTTTTAATAGAAAGCGGTTGAGTTTTCGAGAAGCTTCTTTTATGACATTGTTTAAATCAGATGTACTCATAAATATGATAATGCGAACAAATTGCCGCTAGTGTAAATATTAACCACGTGAGAGACAAGTCAAAAAACTTACATTTTTGTAATTTTTAAAATACAAAAAATTACATTTTTGTAATTTTTAAAAACACAAGAGTACAGCAATATGGCGTTTATGTCATTTCATAGTGTACATTTAGCAGAATCCCTACCAAAAGTTTAAAGAAAAATATTGTAGCCCTTTTTTGACGAAATCTGGTTTTTGTATTTTTTAAAAAATTCACAAATCGCATGCAATATTGAGTGGAAACTACTAAAAATTTTTTAAACAATATTTTTTCGAGAACCAGATTTTTTCGAAATTAAAGAAACCCGTATCGATCTGGCTCGAGTCAGAGATATGAGATTTTGAAAAATATTCTTTCAAATATGGGGTATTTTAATGAAGGGCACTGGACATTTTTTCATATGCATAAATTCAAAGAACAAATTATATACAACAAATGTTATTTGTTCTTCCCCTACACTCCGTATATACGTAAGCACAGGGGAAAATAAAAATTTGATAAATCCAGTTGCGAAACTAAGAAAAATAATTCTCTAACACTTGGTGTAGCCAGAATCCCTGTTTTATATGACATTGATACTGAAAAACCAATTGATGGCAAAACGTCCGCCGGTCTGCGAACACTACTAACGTCTAAACCATTCGTAGATTTTTTCGAAATTAAAGAAACCCGTATCGATCTGGCTCGAGTCAGAGGTTTGAGATTTTGAAAAATATTCTTTCAAATATGGGGTATTTTAATGAAGGACACTGGACATTTTTAAATATTCTCAAAAACGACTCCAATTTTTTCTTTAGATTTCTTGTAACAATATAGTAAAATACACTTACGAAGGTGGCTAAGGTCTGATTTTCAAGATGTACTCTAATTTCCAATTTTTTTCGGATTCTTCCTACAACTACAAAATTAGAGATCAAGATTTTTCGTTAAATGAAATTTGTTGGACATAATCTGTTTTTTCAATAAGATCCTGTACATTTGTTTGAAATTTTTGTTGTTTTCGAGTAATATTGCCTGCAATATGTGCAATATTACAAAATAAAAAAAAACATTTTGTCAAGAACATTATCAAATTATTTCTTTAAACTGTTGGTAATGAGAGTGCTTATTGTACCCTAGCAGATGACATAAACGCAAATTATCTCTAAGGAAAGTTTTGGAAAGTTTGAAAAAAAATTGGAGTGTTTTTTGAGAAAATGACGTTTGAGATGTTCGAAAAATGAGGATTTTTGAGCTACTTTTCACAGAAAATGGTTGAGTTTTCGAGAAAATTTATATAACTTTATTTAAGGCACATGTACACATAAATTTAATGTAAAAAAATTGCCGTTAATGTAAATATTAACGCCGTTAGTGACAAGACAAAAAAAATAATTTCTGTAATTTTAGAAAAAACAAATTAGTGAACTGATGTTTATGTTACCTAATTGGGCACTATCCCTACCAAAAGTTTAAAGAAATAGTTTAGAGGCATTTTTGAAAAAATATTGTTTTTGATAATTTTTAAAATATATTGTTTTTTTAATTTCTGTATTATATTTTATATGATTTTTTTAATATTACACACAATATTGCTCGAAAACTACAAACATAATCGAGAAAGAGTACATAACATTAATGAAAGAATTTACTGAATGGAAATATTTAAAGTAATTGAAGAGCAAGGTTTTTATACTAATATGTGGCTAGCAAAATCATGAAATTCAATAAGAAGTTTACCATGTTATTTCAAATAAAGAATTACAGTGCACCATAGCATGCACTTGAAACTTTAGGTGTTGTGGTGCGTTATTGTTGGCATTTTTCATGAGATAATTATAAACGTTGTCATTGCCAACAATATTATTTATTATAAGAGCAGCTTTCGATGGCTGAGCCATCATCAAGTCGTCGTTTTAGTCAAGTCATCGTCAAGTCAAAGTAGTCGTTTTTGTGGCTTCCATTCAGCAGACAACTGATGATGATGGCTAAGCCATGGAAAGCTGCTCTTATAATTGGCAATGTCAACGCAATCTAATTGCTGGCAATGACAACGTTTATAATTATTTCCCTTGAAACTTTGCGTGAATTCGCGACTAACAAGTAACGTTTTTTCCCCCACAGCTTTTTTCTTTCTATTTTTCATCTATCTTACCCATATTCAAATCTTTGACTATGCAACGCTGTTGCAAGAGGACTAATTTGTGTTCTGGAAAACGAAATATGCGATGCGACCTCACTGCAACGGAATGCGCCGGACAGCAAGATCGAGTTCTTTCTCTGCGACTCGGCAGGAAACCTCGACCGCCCGACCTTGGTTGCGGAGGGCGTCTGTATTCCAGAAGACTGCGTGCATATTTAAAACATTTCTACCGAAACAAATTGCAAAATAAAATATTATTATAAAAAATATATTTAAAACAACCAGTGGCATCGTGAGTTGTAACATTATGCTGCGAACTGCTTTTCTGTTTTTCTCTATTTGCGTATCTGGCGTAATTTAGCTAGGAGTTACTTTTGCGAGCAAAATGAAAAGAAACTAGTTACTTTTGGTAGCGTACAAGATTGGAGTCACTACAATAGAAAGTGTAATTCATTCAACGACAGTTGTAACTGAAAACTGATAATTTTAAAGATATAGTAAATTTCACGTTATAGAATTCTTAGAAATTAACGAATTATTTCAAGGCCAAAGAAAGTGTTAACTTAATGTTACATTTTTATTTCATTGAAAGAATGCATTCTTTTTATTTATTCACTGGCGTAATATTTGTGAAGTTTCTTTGCAAAAGATATTAAATTCATGTTACAACTGAAACTTTGTTTTAACTCGATTATAGTAATAGTAAATAAGTTGTGGAAGTTAATTCCAAAGTTTACCAGAGTTGCCACGTTCTATGTAGGAATTATTTGAGACGATTATTTCCCGATTCTTTTCTTTTTATCTATGTTGTGATTTTTTATACATAAGGATATATGTGTATGTACATTCTTTTTCAGATAGTGTTCAGTAGTTCAGTAGTTTTCTTTGTTACTGTGCTTATAGTACAATAATTTGTGTTTATGTCTCAAGTGCTATTGTATGATGTAATGCAATTCAACGATTACTGCCATTTCTCTCAATTTTTCTCGCAAAGGGAATCTAATTCCCCTATTTTGGGCAGTAAAACTTGCCCAAATCCAGCCCCATGACTCACGACCCCCCCCAATTTTCTTCTCGCAAACGGAATCTAATTCCCCTATTTTGGGCAGTAAAAATTGCCCAAATCCAGCCCCATGACTCACGACCCCCCCCCAATTTTCTTCTCCCAAACGGAATACAATTTCCTTTATTTGGGCAGTAAAACTTTCCCAAATCCAGCCGCATGACTCACGGTTCCCCCCACCCCCCACTGCCACTTACGTCCCTCTCGTCGGCTTCACTGTTGACCCTCTTGCAGCGCGGGTCTTCGGGCGGGCCGGGCTCCTCCGGTTCGGCTGGCTCTTTCGGCTCGGACGCCCCCTCGTCCTTGGGGGGCGGGTCGGCTGGCGGCGGCCCGCCCATGGGCGTAGCCCCGCACACCCCGCAGAGCGCGCACACCAACACAAGCAGCAGACGCGACTCCATCCCGAACGCAGTGGCCGTCGGTAGCGCCCCACCGGTCATATATATAGAAGTCTCGCCCCTCGTCCACCCACCCACCAAGTCGCTCAATGCTTCCCAGTTGTTGTTTTTTTTTATTATTTTTTTAAATTTATTTTTTAACAACCCCGCTGAAACATTCACAATTCCGAGTATAACGATCGAAATGAATGATTAAATTCCCTACATGGCAACCAACTAGTCATATCGCGGAATGAAATCGAGTTCGCGAAATGCGATTTCGAATGGATGCTTGCATGATAGCAAGAACATCGAGAACTGAAATCGGAAGTTGGGTTGTAGATAAAAAGAGAGCGAAAAAACATGCTTTGTCTTAAGCGTTCAGTTCGTTGGGCATGAAATGAAAGGGGGCGTTTCCGATTCTTATCGTATCTGGTGCACCAATTCGCATGATAGACCATTCTCCGAAATAAAAATTGTTTGTTTGTGATTTATTATCAATTTCTTTTCTGAATTCAGTAACAGGTAAATCTCCAATGTACTTTTCTCTTTATAACTTACGTGCATTCTGTAATGGTTCAGTTATCTTATGTGTTTTGGCTCTGTGTGTATTCTGGGCCGTTAGCCGCTCTCGTAACTGTGGTTTACCTGAGTGTACCTAAGTGTACCTGAGTGTACTCAGTGACTTAAGGCCTATGTCTCGATGGTCCATTGCCTGTAGTTTAAAATGTTGGCTTATAGATGAAGCACCCTGAATCACGTTTTCAAGTTTTGAATACTTTAAACTCTTGTAAAACCCGCCATGAGTTGAAACTTTGCTAAGTTTTACTGCCTTAAACGTTTTTTTAAATATTAAATTATTACTATTATTATTATCATTATTATTATTGTGAAGAATCATTTACTATACTTTTCGATGTATTGCATTACGTTTTTCTCAAAACGTGACTTCGTGACTTGGTATGTTTTCATTTCTTAGCCGACGAAATGCCCTCTCATTGTAATGTTTAAAAAAATACGTTCTCAATATTTTATTTTTTGTACCACTGTCATATATTTAATAACTTATAAACTTGCCAGATCCCTCTGAGATTAATGATCCTAATCAATTCCGTTCTCACTTTCTACTTGCTCAGTTATACAAAAGTGATTTCACTAAAGCTGGATAGAATCTTATAAAATTTTGTCTCACAAAAATTTCAATTTTAATCATCAGCTATATTTTTGATTCATTTTAACATTAGTTACTCATTTGACGTTAATAATTTAATAACAAAATAATGTAAAAACATTCATTTTCTATCAGTTTGTTCCTTTACGTTCTTGTATTTAGTTTCTTAAGCCAGAGTTAGGCAAATGACCCGTTTCTCTCCACCAATAAAGATATTTATTTAAACTTTTATTTATTTACTTGTAGAAATGTCAATGAAGTAAATTATTTCGTATTTTGACTAAAATCTTCTCAATGCTCTCTTCACTAATTCACCTCTTTGACTCGTGTGTAGTACATTCCGTGAATTTCAAGGTATCTGAAAGACCTTTTGACGAATAGGTATTTATAATTCAATTCAAAATTTATTTTGCGAATAGGAAAGTTTGTGATACCAGTCCGGTAGGCTGAGTGACGCAATCTACGAACTAAATAAAATCAATTTACCACGAGGACCATACGCTATTTTTAGGCAGTCTTACTTATTTTCGTCTAATTGAAGTATACAAATCACTTAATTGGGTGTCATGTTACATTAAAATCAGTTGTAACTGTTCAGAGGAAAGTGTTTTGTTTTCTTTGTTGTATTCACAGTTTTCACAGTCTTGAAACTTGAGCATCGTCTCACTTGTAGAACGCTGTTTATTCTCTTAAAGTAAACGTTTTTAATAGTATCAGTCCAAAAGAAATATTATTGAGATGCCTCACGTGTTAACTGTTTCCTATACTCAGAGCAAAGGGTTAAAGTAAATATGGAGGTATGATTTGACAAATTTCACTTAATATCCTCTTGAAAAAGTACCAAGAAGGGAATTATCATTAATAACATTTGAGGAGCGTTCGTGTAAAAACAAACAGGTCCATCGCAAAAAAAATTGAGTTAACATGCAATAATGCTAATGACTGCCAACTGCATCTTCTGTCCTGATGTGCAGGAGCAAAAGTGAATATAGCCCTAATAATTTTACTTGTGAACGTACGTGGTTCGGGCAAAATCCAATATGTTCACTCTTTCTTGCAAGTGTAAACCAATAAGACATCAAGATTTGCGATCACGTGACTGCTCCTGCCACGTGGTTCATTCCGAGTGTGAAGCCAAATCACAACAGCATCCCATTTTATTTATTAGAAGATTGGGATCTCAAAGACACAAGAACGTCTCAGTAGTATGTGCTAGAACGTACTGAACATCAGAAATGTGAAGCGAAGCATTATTCAGAAAACAATGGAAGGGAAGAAGATTCGAACAGTCGAAGATTAACCACAGCAATATTTTAGATTTGATGAAGTTCCTGCTTTGATCCTTTGGAAACGTGTTTTTTCATTAACAAATATGGTACAATATAGCCTTCAGCAGTTGGCAGAGATAAATGGAGAGAATTCTTCAGATACTTCTTGTCTGGAATGGTATTCTTTTGTTCTTGTTGGAACAATTCCTGAAAATAAAAGTGTATTGGAAAGCCAAGAAATGAATTATAATTGTGATTGTTCTAAAGGTGATCATGGCTGGCACATACAGATTTCGATGTCTTTTGTTCTTTTAAGTTCTTTCGAAACCAAAAAATTGTTATATTAGCAACATAAATTATTGTAGTAGTTTTGCCTGTTTGGAAAAATAAAATATTTGCGTACACACTGCAGTAAAATAATTTATCCCAACCAAAAGTGATGATAATAGTAGCCCTATTTTATGCAAAAGGAAGCATGACCACAGGTGCTTCGGAAAAAAGCAAACATGTCCAAATTTTCCAAAACAAAAGCAAATGTGTCCAATTTGTAACCTGAAATATCGTCATAAATATAAATAACTGATTTGTTAGCAATGTACGTAGACTATTGTACCTATACTGGTAAGCAGTACAGCGTATTACATCGATTGAAAAGATAAGTTGTCAACAATCAGTTTTTCGCCGTTTCTGAAAAATCTGATTTGATGAACACGTTATCTGCATGAGCACTCCTCATTTCATATTCAGATCGGAAATAAGTCGCAGCGAAGGTTAAATCATCAGCAGAATTTATTTTCACAACTATTTGTCTGCATAATCACTCTGGTTAAGCGAGTACAGCTCTAAACCATCATGAGCGGTAAATTCGAAATAAAAATCTAGTACAGCAGTAAAAACGTTTTGAGTAAGAAACATATTCGAAAATTCTATCGAGTACGCATCCTTCTTTAGTAAGGCGCGTAAAACGTTTTGTTCGTCTTGCGGAGAGTGTGTGGTGTGTGGACACGAAGTAACCAAACACGTATTCAAAACTTGCAAATTTACATACTGAATTTATGTTAAGGTCAGTGAGAACTTACGGTCAAATCGCAGATTTGACCACTTCCACTCGCATGTACAGACGTACTACTGCCGCGATTCGTCTCTGTGAATGCAGTGCGGGACCTTTCATCTGACTTCGAAAGCGTCACCATCTGCGCGAGAGACGTTTGCATGATCGAGTAAAACAGCGCGACAGGAAAGTCTGTCCGCAACAATACCTCGATGATTTGAGTGCTAGCAACAGAAATTATGTTGGTATTACTCGCGCAACTTTCCTTAAACGATGGATTGAGGAAATGAGGGTAGTGTGGGAGTATTAGTTACGAAATATGCCACTACAATTTTTTGAAGCAATGCCAATCTCTAGAGAATCAGTCATGCCTTCGCAACTTACTCAATAATTTGCATTCTAACTTTCTCAGGAGTTCGAGGTGTCTCCTCTGATAGATCTTCCTCTGCTTCGGGTACTTTTTAGATTTGGAGGGGGGGGGAATAATGGATAGTTCTCGCCCCCAAAAGAAAATTGCTTCTATTTCGCGCCAGTGAAGATTTGTTTGGAATGTTGTCATCAGTGCTCGCTGCGAGCTGTTGCCTTCAACTGTTTATTGTGCCAGAGAGGGGGAAGCAAGGTCATCGTTCAAAGAAAAGTTACGCCAGTAATAGTACGAGCTAAAGCTTGTAAAGTGGGTATTCGCCACAAACACAACGGATGCTGAAAGTGTTGTACCCTTCACTTGTTTCCCAGTGATCTGGTTGCAAACAACATCAATGCACTTTTTAATACGAGGCTCTGCCTCGGCACCGAGAAAAAAGCTTTCCTGGCGCCCTGTATCTTCTTTCCTCCCTTCCTTACAAAATAGTAGGCCGAGCAAGTACTAAGGGTTAGAAGATATAAGTAATACAACAATATTTTTACATTTATTTTTTAACGAATTGGAATCACCCCAACAAGATGATTTCGAATATTGGTTTTAAATTTCCCGTTAATGGTTGTTTTCAGCTGTAACCTCTCACACACGTCATAACTAAGGTCTGCTGTTCCCAAGATTTTCAAGATTGATGCAAGACAGTAAATACACGTAATTTTGTATCTGAAAAATCGTATCAAGGGTCAAGCATAACTGTCAAATTGCTTTTGACCTGAAACTTAGTAAATACGTGAGGAGTAAGATCTAGTCCCTCCGTTCCAAAACTCATTAAGTAATTTAAATTTTGGGGTTACTTTACATGAGGAGCCTGTGACATTTTCAACATTCGGAGGAAAATGTTTGATTTTTTCTCTGAAATACAAAAAGGGGATTTGTAAGAATGGTATATTTCCGAATTTCATTAAAACCTGTGACATTTGAAACATCTTTATATTTAAAGTATCAGGAATTATCCTTTAAAAAAGTTAAAGCTTTGTGCTCAACCAAATGTCATGATTTTTGCTTTAAATGAAAGGTAGGTTTCAGATGTTTTATCGCTTGCTATTAATAACCGGTTTTATATTATAAAAAGTAAATTTTAATAATATCATAAAATTAATAGAATTCTTAACTATT